TGTGTCTGTCTGTGTAACATCCCTGTGGTGACTCACGAAATCGTAATGACACGATTGCAAACAAACCATACCACTGGCGGGATTTGAACCCGCGATCAGAGAGTCTCAAAACTCCAGACCGTCGCGTTAGCCACTGGACCAGCTAGCCACAATAAGATTCGTCTAACTAGGTATATTTCTACACCATAGGAAGGTTAGCATAGGCACCACTATGACCAAAAAAACTTGCATTTGTAGACACAGTGGTGCCTATGCTAACTTTCCTATGGTGTAGAAATATACCTAGTTGGATGAATCTTATTGTGGCTATCTGGCCCAGTGGCTAACGTGACGGTCTGGAGTTTTGAGACTCTCTGATCGCGGGTTCTATCCCCGCCCGTGGTATGGTTTATCCCTGTGGTTCATCTGAACCACAGGGATGTTAGTATTTCTTCAGTCACAGAGTTGTCAGGAAGTGGAATAGTCCGGGAAGTGATGTAATGGAGGCAGGATCCATACATAGCTTTAAGGAGAGGCATGATAAAGCTCATGGAGCGGGAAGAGTGGTTGTGGTTGCAGGGGTCGAGACTCAGCTCCTGGTCCCGCCTCTTCACTAGGTCCTTTCTCTCCCTGCTCCATGAGCTTTATCATACATCGTCTTAAAGCTATGTATGGTTCCTGCCTCCACTACATCACTTGCTAGACTATTCCACTCCCTGACAACTCTATGACTGAAGAAATACTTCCTAACATCCCTGTGACTCATCTGATGCTTCAACTTCCAATTGTGACCCCTTGTTTCTGTGTCCAATCTCTGGAACATCCTGTCTCTGTCCACCTTATCTATTCCACACAGTATTTTGTATGTCGTTATCATGTCTCCCTTAACCTTCCTGTCCTCTATTGTCGTCAGGCCGATTTCCCTTAACCTTTCTTCGTAGGACATTCCCCTCACCTCTGGAACTAACCTTGTTGCAAACCTTTGCACTTTCTCTAATTTCTTAACGTGCTTAACCAGGTGTGGGTTCCAAACTGGGGCTGCATACTCCAGTATGGACCTGACGTACACGGTGTACAGTATCTTGAACGATTCCTTACTAAGGTATCGGAACGCTATTTTCAGGTTTGCCAGGCGCCCATATGCTGCAGCAGTTATCTGGTTGATGTGTACTTCCGGAGACGTGCTCGGTGTTATACTCGCCCCAAGATCTTTCTCCTTGAGCGAGGTTTGCAGTCTTTGGCCACCTAGCCTATACTCTGTCTGCGGTCTTTGCCCTTCCCCGATCTTCATGACTTTGCATTTGGCAGGGTTAAATTCGAGGAGCCAGTTGCTAGACTACTTGTCCAGCCTGTCCAGGTCTCTTTGTAGTCCTGCCTGATCCTCATCTGATTTAATTCTCCTCATTAACTTCACATCATCTGCGAAGAGGGACACCTCTGAGTCTGTCCCTTCCGTCATGTCATTCACATATACCAAAAATAGCACTGGTCCTCGGACTGACCCCTGTGGGACCCCACTCGTCACAGGCGCCCACTGTAATACTCTTCACGTACCATGACTCGTTGCCTCCCTGTCAGGTATTCTCTGATCCATTGCAGTGCCCTCCCTGTTATACTCCCCTGACCATCTAGCTTCTGCACTAATCACTTGTGAGGAACTGTGTCGAAGGCCTTCATGCAGTCCAAGAAAATGCAATCAACCCACCCCTCTCTCTCGTGTCTTACTTCTGTTACTTTATCATAAAACTCCAGAAGTTTTGTGACACAGGATTTGCCATCCATGAATCCGTGCTGGTTGTCGTTTAATCGAAACCATGCCGTTGTGTGTAGTGATGTGGTGTTGTGTGTGTGTGTGTGTGTGTGTGTGTGTGTGTGTGTGTGTGGTGTGTGTGTGTGTGTGTGTGTGTGTACTCACTTATTTGTACTCACCTATTTGTGGTTGCAGGGTGAGTCACAGCTCCTGCCCCGACCATTCGCTGATTGCATACATGGTCCTTTAACTCCCTGCCCCATTTTTGACTCATCTACCTCGCCTTAAAACTTGTATGGTTCCTGCCTCAACACATCACTTTCTAGCTAATTCCAAGTCCTACTACTCTAGACTGAAGAATACTTTCCTAACCATCCCTTTGTTCATCTCGAGTCTTCAACTTCCAATTGAACCTTTGTCTGTGTCCATCCGAAAGTGTTGGAATGTGATGCCATACTCACCTATTGAGTTGCAGGGTCGAGTCCGAGCTCCTGTGTGTGTGTTGACAGTGATTGTGTGATGTGAGTGATGTGTTGTGTTGAGTGTGTCGTGTGTGGTACTCACTAGTTGATTGCAGGGTCGAGTCCGACTCCTGTGTTGACTGTTCGTGTGGTGCGGTGTTGGTATGTGTGTGTAGTGCTGTCGTTGTTAAGTAGTATGGTGCCGACTAAAACCTACAATCGTGAGTTAGAGGTTAAAGTTGATATTCTCAAGGACCAGCAACATTATTTTAAAGTATCGCCTATTTTTTTTTAAACAATACGATACTAAATGAACCGATACGATACTCTGGAATCCTTAAAAAAGTTCCAGGTATACTGCTTTTGTATCTTATAATCACCCACGTTCATCTTTTTCCTCTACTTATACTGAAATTTACGAAACGTTTCTCAATTCGGTAACCAAGTTTGCGAAGTAATTCTCATACTATCACTTGTTACACTAACGCATGCGACAGAACCTGATCCAGTACCTTGTGCAAGCTGCCTGATTTACAGTACCTCTGATGTCAGTACTTTGATCCCCGTACCTCGATAGCAGTAACCTCTGATACAGTACCTGGATGCAATACCTTTTTCATAGCAGTACCTTGATGACTAGACTTTCTCGGTGCCAGAAACCTCTGATCAAACCTCTGAGCCAGTACCTCATAACTACCTCTGGTGCCAGAAGCTATATATACACTGAGACTGAGCAAGCAGGGAAAGTTTGAGTCGTCCAGTACTCTTGTCATGGAGTTCTTCATTAAATCATTAGTATCAGTAGTATGCAATGCAGACATATTGATGAATTAAACACATATGCAACACTTGGATATCTTTATTTTGTAGAAGACTCGCCATCCAGTGACTTTTCCCTTCAGTACTGTAAACTGGAGAGAGAGAGAAAGAGAAGAGGTAATTACTAGTCCCTCATTCTTGGTAGGTATTTTATAGTGACTCACGAAATCGTAATAACACGATTGGAAACAGACTCCAGGCCAGTAAGTAAGCCACTGGCCTGGAGTTTTACGACTCATTTGCTATGGGTTCTAACCCCACCCGTACCGTAGTTTGGTATTAATATTCATCAAGACTAGGGTATTGACACTTTTTTCATAGCTGAGGGGTTGATTACCTCATCGACTTTCTCTATCTCGAAAACACTCTACAAAGCTGGAGAACTGATACCTCATTTCCTATTTCCGGTATAATCTCTACATCAAATTGAAGGAAAAAACACTGCAGTCGCTGGGTATGTGCCCAGGTGCTTCACACGTATGTGTAGGTTATCTCGGGGACGATGGAGATGACCAGTTTCAGAAGCGACTTAAAGAAATGAGATCTATAGTGGTGTGCGGGCGGGGTGATGGCTACCTCGGGCTGAGAGGATGCTGCCTTCAATGGCCGCCCCCTTCATGGGGACGTGCCTTGATGCCGGCAAAGGCTCTTGAGCCATGAAATTAGAGCTACCTTCCCTTTTGTAAGATCAAACTTGATTATCTCCTATTCCCCAGGCGCTCCATTACACCCTAGGGAGGGTGTAACTCTTGCCTATGATTATAATAATTATCCGATGCTCCTGCTCACTACCAATAACAAGCACTTACATAAACAAGCTACTACAACAAACAAGCAGCCCAGAACGTGGGCACAGGAACCAGCCTGTGTTTGAACGGACCACTCTATAAAGCAACGAAGAAGATAGTATAAGATTACTTTTCAGTGTATTTGCTCCATGCTCTTGCCCGAATTTTTTTTCCCTAAGTCAAGGTAGCCCTACTTAGATCTATGATAAGGGAGGCCTAGCCACCCAGGCATGCTTCTCAGGCATACCTCTGTAGAAGGGATGCCATTGTTATCTTTTGTAGTGAAGGTGTCGCAACAATGGTAACTCTGTGTCCAGGGATGACTCCAGTACTCTAGAACTACATCTGTATACAGTACAAAAATAACCCGCACTTAGGAGACAAACTTGTGACGTTTTGGTTCGACTCGGACCGTCAACTGATCAATATAGCTATCGTGTCCAGTACTTCATCTGCCTTAAAAATGACTGTATGTTGAAGGTACCATTTGTAGGAATAATAAGTACCAGTAATAGCAGTAAATGTAATGGTCGTAGTACTGATAAGTATCAGGAGCAGAAGTATTTTATAGTGGTAATTAACCTGTAGTAGTATTATTAATAGTAGTAAATAGTGGCATTGCGCAGTATTAGCAAACTGTAATGATGAAAGTTGCTAATTATTCCTTCTTGTATAAACAGTCTCCATGGCAGTGTTTTGGTACAGCACTATGGTTGAGTCACGGCGACTGAAGCGTAGGAAGAGATCCCTCTGATTTTCTGGCCCAACCTTATCTCTCTACATAGGACTTTTTTTCTAGGGCTTGTAGTCACTTGTTATCTATTATTTTCACGTATTTTATGTATGTTAATTTCTTTTTTCTTATCGTCTACCTGTATTTGTCTCCCTCTTCACCCAAAGTTACCCAAGACACTAAGAACTAGCATGCAGCTATCCACGCCTTCACGGATTGGATAGAAGCTACCTTGACTACAGGAAGAGTTGCTGCGAACTTTGGAGCGAATAGCCTAAGTTTTAGAAGCTATTTTAGTCTAAGAAAACTACAATGAAATACTCTGCTGACGCCGCCTAAGGCCAGCCCAGGTGTCAGCAGCACACTTTCTGGTTATATATATATATATATATATATATATATATATATATATATATATATATATATATATATATATATATATATATATATATATTATTTGTTTATTTATTTATTTAACACATTAGCCGTCTGCCACCGAGGCAGGGTGACCCGACAAAGAAGGAAAACTTTCATAAAGTGTTTCTTCTTTTTACATTTAGTAATTTATATACGAGAAGGGTTACTAGCCCCTTGTTCCCGGCATTTTAGTCGCCTCTTACGGCGCGCATGGCTTACGGAGGAAGGATTCTTCTCCACTTCCTCATGGAGTCATATATACCGTAGTATAGCCACCTGTATACGGGGTTTTCATACCCACAAGAGTTCGCAACATTTTTATCACAAGTTGTCTATAAATATGACACGGAATTTGATGTTCGTATGCTTCCATTTCATTCATTTCATTGTCAAATTTTGGTTTAGACAATTGTCATATGCTTCACATTAACAAGCAATTCACATCAGTCATATGCTGCCGTTGTAACATAACCAGACACAAGTCGAAATATTGCTGTCGTAATATGTTTCCAAGTATTTGTTTCTTCGTTTTTAGCCACGACTCTCAGCGTCTTTGAGGAAAATTGTTTGCCGACGGTGGTGACCTGACTGGAGCTGATGGGTTCCTCTTTTTCTCCTTTCATTGAGGTTCGCCAGTTGAGGGACAAACTTCGTTCTGCAGTATCTTCCGTTAGTGTGTGATGTATTATTTTCTTGTGTTATGATCCGAGTTGTCTAACTGGTGTTACCTCATGGCCCATCATCCTGGGTATCTGGACGACGTACTTCTTCATCAGGGAGCTTAGAAGACATACGGTTTCCTGGAGACCGTTCGTTGAGGCTCGAACGTGTAAACCCCAAAAGGCGTGGGCTCCTCGGGCAACCTGGCCACAAGAACGGATTGGGAAGAGCCTAAGGCGTCCAGGGTCTCGTCCGTGGGCGCCCTCACCACGCCACTTGCTAGTCCATGAAGAGGAGGAATAGGATAAGGAAGAAACGAAGGTGGGTTAGGAAGTGAAGGAGGCGAGGAAGGGGGAGAAGAATTTATTTGAAGAGGAGCGAGGTCCAGAATACTCTCGTTACTAACACTGTGGTGGATGGTTGAGGGTGAAGTAATACGCGAAGTCGAGGAGGGTCCAGACTCCCCGTGCGGCACCTTACGCATCTTCATGTCATCTAACCATTCTTTGCTGAGCAGCAACGACCAACTCTGAAACACTGAAGCATTTGGCGACGTCTGCACATTACGAATTGGACGTACAGAATTTGAATTTGAAACAGTTGGGACAGTTGGAATAACTTCAAGATGAGTGGGGACTGTTGGAATGGTTGGCACTGTTGGAATGGTTAGCACTGTTGGAATGGTTGACACTGTTGGAATAGTTGGCACTGTTGGAATGGTTGGCACTGTTGGAATAATTGGCACTGTTACAATGATTGATGGTGTTGGAACAGTAGTAACTGTGGGCATGGACTGTGAGGTGGGTGTGTCAGTTGTAGTGAACACCAAGAAGCTGCTTGAAGCCACACCACTGCCTCCACTCTCCTCTGTTCTTCCACTCACCGATTTTCCAAAATTTTGCAGAGACTGAAATCCCGACACACCCCCATCACTCTCATTTTCCAGCGGCAAGCTTTGAATGTTTGGTATTTCCGTTAGCCTCACAAGGAAGCTGTTGGGGGTGGTTGAGGTGCTGCGGGTCCTGGATCTTCCTGGTGCTGGAGCACACAACCATGAATGGAATGGATGGCTACACTGGTCGTGCTTGGGCCGGAGTGTTGCCGTTGTCCTTGGAGCGGGAAGGGGATCTGGAATATTTCGACGGCTCTCTGGATCTTCTATCTTAGCAGCTGGATCAACGAAAGAGGCTTCAGCCTTGGGCTCTTCTGCTGGAGGTGGCGGCAGTGTTGCTGTAGGGAAGGGGAGGGTGGCAGGTCTTGCAAAAGGCTTATTAAACTGACGTCTTTTGGGTTTCTGACAGAGGAAGCTGTGGAAGGGATGATTGCAGGTGTTATCACGCGTGGGTTCTGGCTCTGGCTGTGGGTCTGAGTCCAGGCTAGCCTGAGGCAGCGCCTGGGAGTCATCATCCATGAGGCTTCCTGCAGCCGGTGCCAGGGTAGATGAAGGCGCTCTTGTGGGAGGTGGTGATGGAAGCGATGGAGGCACTCTTGTGGAAGGTGGTGGTGGAAATGACGGAGGCACTCTTGTGGGAGGTGGTGGTGGAAGTGACGGAGGCACTCTTGTGGGAGGTGGTGGTGGAAGTGACGGAGGCACTCTTGTGGGAGGTGGTGGTGGAAGCGACGGTCTTGTGGTAGTGAGGAAATTATCGGGGAAGAATATAGATTCTGGAGACTGGAAAGATGCTTCTGGGTCTAGCAGGGCATCCATTGGTTTTGGGGTTGAGGGAGCTGGAGGAAGACGAGTACTAGGAGTTGGAGGACGAGGGTGGTGTGTTCTTCGGGGGAGAAGTGTTGGAGAGAATTTGAGTCGTGGACGTGACGGCTGACAAAGCCAGGAATGAAAGGCGTGAGTACATGGGTCTGCACCAACCCACGATGGCTTTGATGTCGAGGGTCGTGGTGGTGCAGGAATCAACCATGGTGCTGCAGGTGGTGGTGGTGACGATGGTACTGAAGCAGGGAGCAGTCGCTGTGCTGGGGGTGGTGGTGGTACTGGGGCAGGACATCTGGTGCTGCAGGGTGGGTGACGAGGTTACGAAGGGAGCAGTCGTGTGCTGGGGGTGGCGTGACGATGGTGTTGTGAGGAGCAGTCGTGGTGCTGGGGGTGGCAGTGACGATGGTGTTGTAGAAGGGAGCAGTCGTGGTGCTGGGGGTGACGGTTGTGTTGGGGCAGGGAGCATCAGCCCTACCCCAGAGTCTAGCAAACCTCCAGTAGGGAAGGTCTTTGCCTTCGGAGGAGCAAGTCGCAGTGGTTTTGAGGGCTTGAAGCACCGCCATGAATGAAGCGGATGGCTACACTTGTCGTAGGTGGTTGTGGTGTTGGGGGGAATTACAGGTGGTGAGGTGGGTGGCGGAAGTCGGGTGGGAGATGGCAAGGATTCTGGGATGAGTTGTTTCCTACCCTGAGTATTGGTAGATTCAGCGAACACACCAGAACTCATAGGTGCTTCAGTTGTGATGGCTGTGCCAGAGGGCGGTGGATGGTCCTGGAGCGTGGTGCTGGCTGACACAACCAAGAATGGAATGGGTGTGAGCACTTGTCGTTGATTTTGGATGGCGGAGGTTCAGGGAGAGCCTCAGGCAGCAGGTCCTTCCCGGCTCTGAGGGAAGCGTCAGGGGAGTTATCGTCTCCATTTCTGGGTGGTGGTGCAGGAGTGGTGACCTTCTGGCACCTCCACGATTGGAAAGGACTGGAACACTTGTCCGATGGTGGGATGGAAGATATTTGAAGAGTTTGAGGAGGTAATGTGGGTGCAGGAGCGCCAAGAGAGGCTTCAGAGTCGAAGCTTCTTCCTGCATGTAAAGGATCAGAGAAGAATACACTGCCTTGGTGAGGGACCTGTGTTCTGATGAATTGTGGTGGGGTGGGATCTGTGGGTTGAGGAGGTGGGGTAGGAGGCGTGGGTTGAAGTGGTGGAGTAAGAGGTGTGGGTTGAGGTGGTGAGGTAGGAGGCGTGCTTTGAAGTGATGGGTTGGGAGGCGTGGGTTGAGGTGGAGGCGTGGGAAGTGGAAAAGTAAAAGGATGTAAGGCAGGAGCTGAGAATGGCACAGAATCAAAGACTCCTCCCAGTGAAGGCTCTGCATCAAGGAAGGAACCTTTTCGATGTTGGGGTGTGGTGATGGGTGGAGATGTTGGGCGGGTGGGTGGAGATTGTTGATGGGTGGGAGGTCGTGGACGGGTGAATGGCAGTTGTGAATGAGTGGGAGGTGGTTGACGGGTGGTGGTGGAGGAGAACACGACAGTAGGAAGGCGGCCAGCTCCAACAGGAAGACTTGGGCGACACAGCCACGCGTGGAAGGAATGAGAGCACTTGTCGTATTGTGTCTTCTCCAGGCGTGTAGGAGAAGCTGTGTTGTGCTGAGCCAGAGGAACTGCTCTCGTCACCACAGCCAACACCACCTGCAAGAAAGAATCTATTACTCGCTCTCCTAGATAACTTTTAAAGCAATGATCCATAAGACTTTAGTGCTCACTAGGGTGTATAATAGTAATAATTTAGAGTAAAATTACATGTATATATTTCTAATGTTGAAAGCTTGGAAAATGCAGTCCGAAGTGATTAAACATTATACAAATAACCCGCACATAAGAGAAAGAAGCTTATGACGACGTTACGATCCAACTTGGACCATTAACTAGTTACACTAACACACGATGGTGAGGTAGCCAGAATGTATATACAGGAGAAGAGGACAAGAACGGGACAGAGAGAGAAAGAAAGAAGTAGAGTAGTGGTGGTAGTAGGTAGGGGGAGTAGTGGCACAAGAGACAGTAAGGGTAGTAAATCGAGGCAAAAGTAGAGGTAGCAATAGTAGTAGTATAGTAGCAGTAGTAGAAGAATAAGTCAATGACCATACCACGTTGAACGCACCGCTTCTCGTCCGATCAGCAAAGTTAAGCAGCGTTGGGTTTGGTTAGTACTTGCATGGGTGACCGTCTGGGAACACTAAATACTGTTGGCCTGGTGGCTAAAGCTCTCGCTTCACACAGCTGGTGTCTAGGTTCGATTCTCAGCGAGGGTAGAAACATTGGGCGTGTTTCTTTACACCGGTTGTCTATGTTCACCCATCAGTAAAATGGGTACCTGGGTGCTAGTCGATTGGTTAGGTAAGGTAAAGTAAAACGTTGCATTAAGTTAAGCTTTAACGTACCAGCATGTTTTCATAAAAGGAAGTTACTGGTGCCTCTCATCACTGAGATCGCGATTTTGTTTTTATTGATTCCTTGGTATAAACCTTGGTAATAAATACCGACAAGTTGGTTTAGAAAGACACGTAAGCAAACACTATAACATATTTATTAGAAAACGTTTCGGTCCTGGGACCTTGATCAAGGTCCCAGGACCGAAACGTTTTCTAATAAATATGTTATAGTGTTTGCTTACGTGTCTTTCTAAACCAATTTGATTCCTTATACGAATCTGATAATTTCGCAATAATGTAAAATCGTATATCAATGACGTCTGGGATTCTTGCAGAAAAAAAGTGAATTTTGGCACTGAGTTTTGTCCCAAATTATTTATTAGACTGGTCACATATTTTGAAGACATTGTTCTTGGTATCCACTAGAGTGTGTGTGTGGGGGGGGGCAACATTATTTGTGTATGGAGTGCAACATTGTACTCACCTATTTGTGGTTGCAGGGGTCGATTGACACCTGGCTGTGTATGTATGTATGTATGTGTGTGTGTGTGTGTGTGTGTGTGTGTGTGTACTCACTGATTTTGGTTTCTTGGAGTCGAATCCAGGCTCCTGGCCCCACCTCTAAAGCTTCATCGACCAACATTACTGATTTCTGGTCCTCTGAGCCTTATCATATCTACTCTTGAAATTGGTATGGCGTTCGCCTGCACCTCTTCCACATCCAGTTAATTCTTCTTTCCTACCAACCTGAGACTGAAAATATGCTTTAAAATATTCCTGTGACTCATCTGTGTTTTAAATGTCCATCTATATCCACATGTAACTGGTTTTCCCTGATAAAATCCCTGTCCTTATCGGCCTTATCTAGTTCTCAGAATACAATATTTTATGCGTAATAATAATGTGACCTTCGCCCTCCTCACCTTCAAGATCGTCACTGTTACTTCATTTAGTCTTTCCTCTTAATGTACCCCTCTTATCTCTGTGATCAGTCTGGTTGCAAACCTTTTCACCTTGTCAAGCTTATGAACATTCCAAGCTGTGGTTGCATATTCTAAGATGCACGTGGCACATGTTGAGATTCCTGAAGGCTGTTCTGAGATTTGCTAGCCCAGCAGAGGCTTCCGAAGCCATATAGCTAATGTGTTCTTGTGATATGTTCGGTGTGATGCTTACTTTGTAGTTTCTCTTTTCCCAGATATATTCTGGCTCCAGTTTACCTTCCTCTTCACCAAATTTCATAATCTTCCATTATGTGTGGACTACACTCCAGCAGCCACGCTTGCAACGTGTCTAAATCTCAGTTCATTTCTTGATCAGTTTCCATGGGTCTCTTAAATAATCTAGAATGATACATAAATTTGCCAACCCAACACCAGATTGTTTACCTTTTAGCAGGTTTTTGCTCTCAACATGAGTTATAAGTTTTTCTCTTGTTTTTTCCCAATATTTTTGTAACACTTGCCGAGGAAACAGGTCTATAGTTTAAATTGTCTTCCCTGTCGCTCTGTTTAAATATTGGCACAGTGTCATCTTCCATTTGTCTGCCAAAGTTACTTATTTGTAGCATGATCCTAAAAAAGCTGAAGTGGATAGCATTTTTTTGTGTACGTCTTAAAAGCCACGATACTATCTCGAATGTCTCTGTTGTTTTATTCCTTATCACCGGTGTACAACTTTCTATTTAATTCCTCACACATTGCCTCCTCAACTTCAGTGACTTTGTCGACGTCTATTATTCTTTGCATTTTGTCTCCATTATTTAATGTACTTTTTTACAAACTTGCACTAAACATTTTGTTATTCCTCGCCCTTGTCTACGAATTCTTGTTCAAAGTTAGTTTCTTCCTCTCTCCTAACATTTGTATATTAATTTCTAGCCTGCTTAAATCTCTGACTTCTTGAGTGTCCTCTTAGCTCTGCATCACCTTATATTAAACCATTCTTTATTATTATCTCTCATATTTCTCTTTGTAATAAACTAATTTCATTTTCATATATTACTACAGAACTCTGTATATATTATGTTTGTCCCTCGTAATACTGCATTTAATTCAGCTTATTTAAAATAGTGTTTTAAGGCAATACAATTTTCATTTCTTATAATCTTGTCATTTATGTGTGTTTCTTTTTCATTTCCTAAGTCATATTTAGCTACATATGTTAACTGCATTCGAACATGATCACTTCCCAGGTGGATTTAAATAGCTTACGTTGAAAATTTCTTCCGCTGTTCTAGTAAACACCAGGTTTAATATTTTATATTTATGTTGTTTTCTATCACATTCGTCCATTCAGTTATATGCCGATGTGTAAAAAAAATGTTTCATGATATAAAAGAATTTTAGTGACATTTATTTGTTATCCAGCCCAGTTTATTTATATAGACGAATTATGCCATTACAATAACTTTTTTTTTCGTGGTCACTTTTCATCAGTAGTTTAGTACATTATATATAGATCGATACCATGCCTAACCCTTCTAGGGTAGGGCAGGTGCCTGAGCCTGAGCCTTTAGCTCATAAGACTGTCATTCCCATTTACCCCTTTGGGACGGGTATGGCAGACCAGAGGGGCCTAGCTTGTGGCTAGGCCTGGGGACAGTTGGTCCCAAAGATGAGGAGGTACTGGTGCCTCCTCCCATGGGAGACTTAGGTCTCAGACACTCCCTAAAGAGGGAGCCAAGGCCGGGCCACCACTTGGAAAAGGCCCGGGCCGGGAGAATACCGGCTAATCTTTAATAATAAAATAATAATAGTACATTATAGGATGTTATCTCTCATTTACTTTAATTTTTTTTTGTCTGACAGGTATTATTAATTTAAACATTGGGTTGTATGCATTATCTACTAAGAGTTTCTCATATTTTTTGTTATCTTGTTTCATATTGCAGTTTCCGTTCCTTGTATTGCCTGTTTTATCAATAATGTTAATCCTGCTTTTTTCTTGTTGACTCGTCTTCTCCACGCTGAGTATGTTGCGTCGAATACCTCGTTTTTAATATATTTCAGTGGGTAAAATAAAGAGCTGTGGAACACTGGAATAATCTTCCCATGGAAGCTGAGAGTGCCAAGTATTAAGAATTGACAGGACGTACACTTTGACTACCAGAGAGCTGTTTGCAGAGTCCTCTCCACACAGTGGCCACCGGTCTCCTGATGTTTGCTTCACAGCTGATCACAATATCCACTTAATGATTAAGACACGTGTGCAACAGCTGGGCATCTTTATTGTTGAAACGTTTCGCCTACACAGTAGGCTTCTTCAGTCAGATAAAGAGGTAGCAAGTGTGGAAGTGAGATGAAGAAGATGTAATCAGTCCTTCAGTCTTGGAGAGACTATCTCCAAGATTGGTGGAGTCTTATGACTGATAAATTAGACACATGTGCAACTCTTGGGTATCTTTATTGAGGAAAAGTTTCGCCACACAGTGGCTTCATCAGTCCATACGTAGGAGAAACTTGAAAAACAGAAGGAGAATGAGGTAATCAGTCCCTCAACCTTGAGTCGATGTGTTCAGTCCATCAATCTTGAATAGAATATTCTATTCAAGATTGATGGACTGAACATATCGACTCAAGGTTGAGGGACTGATTACCTCATTCTTCTCCTGTTCTTTATGTTTCTCCTACGTATGGACTGATGAAGCCACTGTGTGGCGAAACTTTTCCTCAATAAAGATACCCAAGAGTTGCACATGTGTCTAATTTATCAACATGTCGGTTCTCTGAACCATTCATCTACAAAGTCTTATGACTCCATTCTTATGCTTCATCTTTATATCATTCCAGACCACTAAGCTGAACTCTTCTCCAGACCGAGGGACTGACTCCCTTCAAATACTCTCTCTCCAAGGTTGATGGACTGATCACATCGTTTTCGTTTTACTACTAAACTTGCTGCCTCTGTATTTGACTGAAGAAACCTACTGTGTAGGCGAAACGCTTCAACAATTAAGATACCCAATTGTTGCACATGTGTCTTAATCATCAACTAGAAGCATAACTAGCACCTTAAAAGTAGTAGTAGTAGTAGTAGTAGTAGTAGTAGTACTATTCAATACATTAATTTCAGTGCTGTATGATATGTCTTTCTAGTTTCATGTCGGTAGTGTTCAGATGGAGTGGAGAGCTGAGAGAGAGAGAGCTTTTTTCTGTACTATAAGTAAGTAAGTAAAATTTATTCAGGTATACACAATACAGTTACATAGAATTATCATACATAGCAGCATATGTGTAGAGAACCTAGGATAACCCA